ACATTTTTAGAGCCTCTTTGATTCTCAGGGATTAGCATTTTTTGTATGGCTTACCTTCTCTAATTATTATCTTGACATTTCTACTCTAAGATATGTGAAATTATACTCTGCCTCCACTATTCATGAAACATTAATATTCAAAAATTAATTTTGTGTGTACTGATAATGAAAATAAATCAGTGGACAAGCTTAATTTTCATTTAAATCTTAAAATCTCTCTTCTTAGTTGCCATTAAGCAGCACTTGCACATCCAACTCCAGAAGGAGTACATTTATGTCATTAAATGTCATGTTTTACTCAACAAAAATAAACAACCCCATCAAAAAATGGGCAGAAGAGCTAAAAAGACACTTCTCCAAAGAGGAAATGCAGATGGCCAACAAGCATATGAAAAAATGTTCAACATCACTTGTAATGAGGGAGATGCAAATTAAAAACCACAGTGAGATACCACCTCACCCCAGTGAGAATAGCAATCTTCAAACAACTAGCAACAACAAATGTTTGCAAGGATTTGGAGAAAAAGAAATTCTCCTGCACTGCTGGTGGGAATGCAAACTAGTACAAACACTATGGAAAACTGTTTGGAGGTTCCTCAAATTGCTAAATATGGAGCTTCCCTATGACCCAGCAATCCCACTCCTAGGTATCTACCCAAAAGACACAAAAACACTGATTCAAAAAGATGCCTATACCCTCATGTTTATTGCTGCTTTATTCACAATTGGAAAGACATGGAAACAGCCCAAATGCCCAAAAGTAGTTGACTGGATTAAAAAGATGTGGTACAGGCCCTCCCTGGTGGCGCAGTGGGTTAAAGCACAGCACAGAGAATCTAAACCCACTTCCACATGAGTTCGATTCCCGCCTGCCCCAGAGGTGGCCACATGGCATGGCAGACCTCTCCTGACCTGCCCGCTGCTCCCCTCAGCAGTGTACTTCGTCGATCTGCCTGTTCTATTCCCCACTCTGTCTCTGGTGAAGCCTCTCACCGCCCCTAAGCCTCTGGCCTGTACCCCAGTTCTGTATGTACAAATAAATAAATCTTTAAAAAAAAATCATTCAGCAGAGACCCCACATTTAAAAAAAAAAAAAAGATGTGGTACATATACACAATGGAATATTCAGCAACCAAAAAAAAAAAAAAACACATGTCTTTTACAGCAACATGGATGGAACTGGAAAAGATCATGTTTAGTGAAAAAGCCAGAAAGAAAAGGAAAAATGCCAGATGGTTTCTCTCTTAGCAGGAATATAACAGAGCAGGCCAGGAAATTATGGTAATGATGAATAGCTATATACCAGAGACATTTTGTGTGTGGGGGGGGAGCGGAGAATGGGAGAGGGAAATGCACTGGATTATGGTGATGGCACATGGGTGATTTGGTGATGGGAAGCCCAAGGGGATTGCAAATGAGATGGAAAAATGCACAAAATGATGTAAAAATAAACTATTATATATATAGTGTGTGTGTATATATATAATATTACATATATATAAATGTCATGTTTTAGGATTTTTTTTTTTTTGGCCTGGGTATTACATGAAAACACCTTTAAGTGAACATGACGTATCAGGAAGTCTTTGCTGTCCCTGTTGACAGCTGACATCTCCCACAGAATTGGAAGTAGAAGTGGGAAGAGAGGACACCATATTCATAAGAGGCAGTGAGAGATAAGCTTAAGAAATGAGTCAGTTGATTGGGGAAAAAAAATGTTTTCATTTCCTTGTATTATTTGTGCATATTTTGGACCTTAATAAATTTTATCATGTGAACAGTTGTCTATTGGCTTTGAAGGTATTGAAAGTAAAAGAAAGATTTAAAACATGGCTTTTCTTAAAAGTATGTTACTGGGGAAAATTCAAAAATGTGAATAAATATAGCTATATTTCTTTAAAAAATAATGTAATCCAAAATCTGGACTTGCCTTAATAGCAGGAGAGATAAGACAAAATGCAATAATTCTTCTGAAGCAGAATCAAGAGAGGATGCACTAATTGCATGTAAAAGATAAGGTGGGTTAGAAAATTGAATAGTAGCAACAAGACAAGATTCAGTAATTGCAGGGGAGAGATAATAAAGGAGGTAATAAGGTAGAGGGAGCGATAGATAAAAGACAGAAGGGGATAACTGAACAGCAAAGACAAGATGGGATAATAGAATAACTGAATGGGAATTTCAAAAGCTGCTTCAGTCCCTCCCTGGTGGCGCAGCGGGTTAAAGCACAGCACTGAGAATCTAAAGCCGCTTCTTCATGAGTTCGATTCCGGCCTGCCCCAGAGGTGACCACATGGCGTGGCAGACCTCTGAGCCTCTGGCCTGTACCCCAGTTTTGTATGCACAAATAAATAAATCTTATATATATATATATATATATATATATAAAAGCTGCTTCAATAATTGTAGAGGAGTGATAAGGAAGTGTCCAATAAATTAGAAGGAGAGATAAAAATATAATAAATAAGAGAGGGAGAGAGAAAAGAACAAGGGAGAGAAAGAAAATGAGAGCAGGAAGGAGAAAGAAAACAGGATGCAAAAAGTGAACATGAAATGTCAGGAGGGAGTAACTGTATTGCAGAGATTAGATTAGGCAAAATACATGAGGAGGCAAGATAATACAGGGAGTAAAAATAAATGGAGAGGATTAAATAAATGAGGAAGAAAGATAAGACAGGATGCAATAACTGAAAGAGGAAGATAGGACAGGGTGGAATAACTGAACAGTAAAGATAAGACTGGATGCAATAAGTGAACCTGAGAGGTAAGATTCAATAAATGTGCAGGAGAGTTAAGAAAGGATGCAATAGTTGGACAGGAGCGTTAAGACAAGATATAATAATTGTACAGCACACAGAGAGAATGCAATAACTGAACCTAAGGGATAATGCAGGATGGAATAAGTCAATGGGAGAGATAAGACAGGAAGCAATAACTGAACAGAAAGTATTAAGTAATTGCTCTAGAAAGATTCCCTTTCCTACTAGGGAAGGCTTCTTGGAGCTGATGACCTGGAAAGATTAGTGGGGTGGCCTTATGTAGACAAAGAAGGAGTATTAACATCAGAGTCAACAGAGGAATACAACAATGATACTAAGATATAAGGAACATTGAAGTCTATATAGAACATGTAAGAGTGGCTGTTTTGACTTCTAAAAAAGGCATTAATGGCAGTAATATTCAAGCTGAGACTGGAAGGATGAGTAATCATCTGCCAAAAGGAACAGTCAGAGGGCATGCAGGCAACAAATTCAGTGGTATAGAATCATTCATTCATGTTTTCAAAATATAATCGTGGAACGAGTATTCTATTTAAGGCACATGGACATAGCCAAGTGGAGGGAGGCAGAGAGAACAAGTTAGACCCAAACCTACACTCTTGGAGCTTATGTTTTAATGAGTGGGAAAGACAACCTTTTGTAAATTTTATTTATTTATTTTTTAAAGGTGCATTTATTTGTTCATACAGAACTGGGGTACCGGCCAGAGGTGCAGGTGTGGTGAGAGGATTCACCAGAGACAGAGTGGGGAGCAGAACAGGCAGATCGACAAAGTACACTGCTGAAGGGAGCAGCAGGCGGATCAGAAGAGGTCTGTGGGTCACCTCCCAGGCAGGCGGGGATCGAACTTATGCTGAAGTGGCTTTACTTCTTAGTGCCGTGCTTTAACCCGTTGCGCCATCAGGGAGGGCCCTAAATGTTATTTTTAATTGATTTTTTTAACTAAAGTAATATTGGGGTACCCCCATCAGGTATTACCACCATACTGTACCCACCACCAACTCACCCATATTCCTTCACCATCCTGCTGGCCTTTATCTAAGAGGAAAGCCATCACTTTAAGCTAGTGAAGATGTGATCAGATGATTATTTTTAAAAAGATCTCTCTGTCTGTAGTTTATTTTCTTCCAGAATGATTTAGGCTTGGAAAGGAAGAATAGGTGTGGAAGGCCAGACAACAGATAATGGCATTTTGGTTGGGGAAGGAGACAGAAAAATTGATAGTCATAATTTAGGAATAATAAAAAAAAATTGATTGACAATGGGAGAGTAAAGGACAGGTAGATTTCAAGATCAATTCTAAAGTGTTTAACTTGAGCAACTGTATAATTACTGTGTTCCTCCATGTTCATCCACTATGGTAAAGAACAGAGTATAAGAATAAAAGAGGGACTTATGGAGAGAAGATGATGGCCTTGAATTAATGCGCCTGTGTTGAGTCTGAAGAGACTATTAGTAAATAGTCTGAAGAGACTATTATTAAACAGTAAACATGGCAAATCTGAAACTTGGAAGCAAGAACAAAAATTGGAATATAAATTTGAATTCATGGGTCATTGGTGGAAATAAAAGCCAAGGCATGGGGATCACTCAGAAATAAAATGTAAAGTGAGACAAATGGGGCCTAAGATGAAAAGTTGGAGCCCATCACATTGAGTTGACAAAAACATTTGTCAGTCAGGCTGAGGAGGATGAGTTGATGAAGGAGTGAGGAAGAGAGACTGGGGAGCCAGGTTTGTGGGAAAAACCAGGGCAGGCCAGAGTTTCAGAAACCAAGGGAAAACATCATTTTCAAGAAGAGATCATTATCAGGTTCATAATGTACATGGAATGCAAAACTATTTAAGGGTTGAGAAGTGTCCACTTTATTTAGCAATGAAGAAGTCACCGAGGATCATAGTGAGACCCATTTAGTAGAGTAGAGAGTGCAAAAGCCAGATTGGAGTGATTTGGGGAATAGCCTTTTGAGAAATTTTATTTAAATAGAAATGAAAGCCCCTGGGCTTTGCCTACATCCCAAGGAACACGGATGGTCTGGGCACTCACTGGTCTGATTGTTCCCATCGAGGTTTTTTCTTGATGACTAATTCCTTCTCTATAAGGTATAAGCAAAGTGTTCAGTTTTGTTTCTTTGTTTCTTGCTTGATGCATAAAAGGATAGACATAGTAAGGAGAAAAAGAGACAAGGTCTTTGCAAATAAATTTTTTATCTGCAAAAAGCATAGGTACAAAACAGAGTGACAAAGATGTTCACATTTTGTGCATTTCTTTGGTCACTTTTCAACATTTGGATGAATTACTCTTCACTTATGATTTTCGTGTGAACCTCCCGGCTCTTCACCCGCAGCTTGTTGACCTGGGACTCAGCAATGTCAGCCCGCTCCTCGGCCTCCTCCAGCTCGTGCTGGATCTTGCGGAATTTGGCAAGGTTGACATTGGATTGTTCCTCCTGAGAATGAATGGGAAAATGCATGTGTGAAGGGGAAAAGTCCAGGATTCTTAGTTTCTTAGGCCAATGAATTTATTTTTACTTAAAAATATCTCTACTAAACCTTTTTGTTAAAAAAAATCCTGAAAGAATGCTCTTGAATTTTATCTTAATAACTCTTCTCATTCTTCTTGAATTCATGGATAACAAGTAGGGACAGGTGATAGTTGTTTCCAAGATATTCTAAAAATTTTCCTTTATATCATCAAAACCTTTTAGAGCTACTACAAAATATACCAGCTTCTGAACACCCCATCTTACCTTTTTTTTATTGTTTGCACAGAATTTGGTAAGAGAACCAGACCTAATATGTTGCATATTTACACATATGCAACATATTTTATAATATAGTGAGAGCCTTAACTATAAATCATTATCATATGAATATAAATTATTCTCACTGGGTATAGTTTCAAAATTAAACAAGTTGATTGCTTCCTAAAATAGTTTATTTCTAGAAATAATCTGTGATCTCTGATTATGTTTGAATATATAGCAATGAATTTGTTAAGGTCTATATTGGTTTTGGTCTCTAGTAATCACTTTTTTAAAAGACTTGTTAAGAACCATCTAAAATATTGCATTCAAATTTAGATCATTAATAAAACAGAATCACTAAATAATATAGTGGGGGGGGATCTCAGCTCTTTCTTTTACAGATGAGACTAGTAGGTTATTCTGTCTATGTCTGTCTGCCTTAGATTTTAGAACTCAGATGCCAGGGGTAAAATAAATGAACAGAAGAATTCATGTGTGATATTTAGTTTATATATATCCATACTTCCATACTTAGGAAGTCAACATTTTACTATTTCACTAAGGCACGTCCATCAAGGCGGAGTGCCAAGGATACAGTGGCTTGAACATAACTGAGACACTCTGAATTCCAGAAATAATGTTTAACTATTCACTTGATACCTTTCCTTATGTACAAATGGTATTTCAACCAATGTTTCCAAAACACATTTTCTGTTTTCTTCATGCCCTGAAAATCTGTTCCTTCATTTGTTCACCATTTTAGTATGCCTTATACCATCTCCCTAGTTGTTCAAGTCACTAGCCAGATGAGTTATCCTTGATTTCCTTTTTCTCACCTCCCAAATGCAGCCTATTAGCATGTCTTGTAGTTTCTACCACTAAAATAAATCTTGCATCGCTCTACTTCTACCTCCTCCTCGGCCTCCCTAATTCAAGCCATAGAACCACCTGAGAAGCATCCAAAGATGTCTCCATGTACCGGTCTCCAAAGATGTCTTCATTTCCCACATAGTAGCACAATATTCTTCTTCTTTTTTTAATGTATATTTATTTATGCATACAGAACTTGGATACAGACCAGAGGTGCAGGGGTGGTGAGAGGCTTCACCAGAGAAGGAGTGGGGTCATAACAGGCAGATCACCAAGGTACCCTGCTGAGGGGAGCAGCAGGCAAGTCAAAAGAGGTCTGCCACGCCATGTGGGACACCTCTGGGGCCAGGGATTGAACTCACACTGAAGGCTGTAGCTAGCTTGCAGTGCTACTTCCTAACCCATTGCACCACCAGGGAGGGCCTACAATATTCTTTTAAAAAATATAAATCATGGTAGCCCTCCTTGGTGGTGCAATGGATTGCTATGCAGCATTGCAGGCTGGCCTCAGCCACTTCAGTGTGAGTTTGATCCCCGGCCCTAGAGATGATCCACATGGTGCGACAGACCTCTCCTGGCCCACCCACTGCTCCCATCAGCAGTGTTCTTCATCGATCCACCTGTACTGCTCCCCACTGTCTCTGTCTCTGGTGAAGCCTCTCACCACCCCTGCACCTCTGGCCTGTACCCCAGTTCTGTATGCATAAATAAATAAATCTTTTTTTAAAAA